TTTTGGAATTATCTTAGGTAAGATGTTTGTCATGCTAAGTCTAGTTTTGGAGATTTTTCTCATGTGGAAGAGATTCTGAAAGTACCAACTTCATTTTAGTGTAGGCATAGAGTGAACTGAATCGCACAAAATATACTTAATTCTCTTAAGGAACTCTGTTTATTATACGGTTATTCTGTGTACTTGCTACTATGTTGTGCATCAGTTATGTAATGGCAAATCAAGCTGACACCGTCAATGTCTTCCTGAACTTTTTACTCTGGTTGGATGTTAGATGCTGAACAAATAAACATAAAGAAAAACTGAACTGGAGATTTATGCAAGTTACTACATAATCAATAATGGCGTTCCTGAAATTATATCACATTTTACACTGGAGGCAGTCTGTTTGAGGATGGTCAGGAAAGGCAAAGTCTGGAGGGTGACAAAGACCAAGGGAAAGAACATAGCAGACTTTGGAAAGAGAAGCACAGAGACTTAAAGCAGGAAAAGGTGACTGTATCATCAGAAGAAGGAAACAACATTCAATAAAATGTAAGTGAGAAAAGTCAAAAAACTGCATTTAAAAGATGCTAGGTAGAGCTGGGGAGATGGCTTAGTTGGCAGTGTCCCTACCGTGCAAGCATCAGGACCTGAGTTAGATCCCTGGAATCCAGAGAAAACAGCTGGGCATGGTGGCATATGTTCGTAATCCCACCACTGGGGATCATTAGGACTCACTGACCAGCCAGCCGAGCCTCCTTGGTGAGCTCCAGATGAGTGAGAGACTCTGTCTCAAAAAGTAAAGTGTACAGTACTTGAGGAAGACATCTAAGATTGATCTCTAGTCTCTACACACATGTGTACATACACAAACCTGCACATATGCCCCCCCTCCCCCCACTGACACAAACACAACTTAAAAGATAAGGTGAACTGTGCAGGCCCAGCATTGGGCTTGTTTAGTGTGAAACTATGACCCTCCATAGCCCAGCAGCCTCTAAAATGCAGTTTAGAAACTTATGCCTACACTACTCAGCCTGAACCATTGGGGAATGGATGAATTATGTTCAATGAATTATGTAGTAAGGCATTTCAGAAAGATTTCCTTGTAAGACATTAAAATTTTAAAACTCATTTCTGTATTTAAAGACAAAACCTCTTCCATCTGGAGAAATCACAGTCCAAGAGAGGATCCCTTGATGACCCTGCATAAATAGCATGATACTCCATTTTCTTTAAACCTTTCTTTCACTTTTTTTTTTTTTAACTATATATGAGTGTTTTGCCTACGTGTATGTAAGGGCACCTGTGCCATGCAATGCCCATGGAGGCCTGAAGAGGGCATCAGATTCCCTGGAACTGGAGTTATGGATAACCGATTGTTAGCCACCTTGAGTGCTGGGAATCGAACTCAGATCCTCTCAAGAACAGCCAGTGCTCTTAAATGCTAAGCCATCTCTCCAGCTGCAATATTCTGTTTTCTCTTAATTTCTCCATTGCTATGCCAAGCTCAGTATCTGTGGAGACCTTTATTGGGGAGGCTGGGGTTTTGCTTACAGATGTGCACCACCAAATCCTGCAAAGGGTTATAATTTTAACTAGGAGGATTTCTGTTTATTCTGAATTAAATAAATGGATTTTTATGATCCAGTGCTACGTTCATGTGTGTGTATCACTTTTTTGATTTCCATATTTCTTAAGGTTCTACACAACTCCATGCTGCCTTCTGAGCACAAATTCTTACTCTTTGGACTGCAGTCAGATTGAGAAGTTAATTTAAAGTGCTAATATTAGGAATTGGGGATGTAGGTCAGTTGATAGAGTGCTTGCATAGCAGGTAAGAAGCCCTAAGTGTGTTCCCCAGCATCACATAAACCAGGTGAGGTTGTGCAGCATAGGAGGTAGAGACAGAAGGATCAAGAGTTGAAGGTCAGCCTGGGCTACATGATCCTGGCTCAAAAAAAAGCTGGGTGTTATGGCACATGCCTTTAATCCCAGCACTTGGGAGGCTGAAGTAGGTAGATCTCTGTGAATTCGAGGCCAGCCTGGTCTACATAGTGAGTTCCAGACCAGCCGGGGCTACAGGGAGACCCTGTCTCAAAAAAAGACCAAAAAAAATGTGAAAGATTTTGCCCAGGATAAAGACTTTTCAAAGCAGATTAAATTAAAAACCAGGGAGAAGAAGGCTGGTACAGCATTGCCAAAGAATGTACTGAAATACATACTTGCGACATCAAAAATCAACTAAGGATTACTGATACAAACTACATAATATTTTTAGGCTTTCATAATTTTCTCCCCAATAAATACCTTCTTACGGATTGCATATGTTTTTCCAAAAAAGAATGCCTGTCCATTTAGCAATGTTTCTCTAGCTATTTTGTCAGTGTTGCTGTGTTCTGAAGTGTTTTCATGGATGTTAGCTATTTTCCTCCCAGTTGGTAAACTCCATAAGGGTTGGATTCCAAGTAGGGTATTTGCCTTCTCACAAGTACCTGGAAGAGTATGTTCAGAACAATCAAGAACTTATTGACAGATTTTTTTTCTCAGTTTAATTAATATAATTTAAAGTGTCTCTAACATATGAAGCCTAAAGCTATCACCAAAATAAATTCAATTGTTAGTATAGTTGTCCAAATTATTAAAGACTGGATGGGCTGGAATGCAGACTCCCAGGGCTCCTCTGTCTCTACTTCAGACCCCTGTCACAGTGCCATAACACCTTCCCTAGAATTTATTAGAAATTTGGTTACTATGGAGGCTAAAACTAAAATATCTGCTAAAGAACTGTTGTGGTAGTTATCAATCCCTTTTTGTCATGTGTATTTTCAGAATAAAATGAAGCTGTTTTTAAGTTCATAATTATAATGCCTTTCAGCTAGATTTGTCCAATTTTGTGATATGCAAAAAATATCTTACACTTCTTGTGTCATACTAAGTTGCTTTTAGTGATTTTACACAATAGCTATTTTCTTATAAATCCACTTCTGTAGATGTTAGTGAAGATGTAGGAATACTGTGGAGGGGAGAGATTGATTTGTGTTGAACAGCACAAACATGGAGGTCATTCTTGCTCTGATGGGACTATGGAGCACCAAACTGCTATCAGTGATGAAGATACCCTGAAAACACCAGAAGCATAGATAGGACTGACTTTATCACAGCCCATCATTGGAAAGCAGGTTGCTGTATCTGGGTACAGTTTTCCAAAACTGTAGAACTGAGTTGTGTCTGGTGCTCGGCCATAATCTCTGGATGAGCAGAACAGTGACTGTATGTGATGCTCCTGTGGCTTGCAGAAATGTCCTGTGTCTTGGTGCTCCCAGTTCCTGGAGTGTCTTCTTTAGACGACCTTATAATAAGTATTTATTCTGGAGTATAGAATGTTTCTTAGATGGTGATGGAGACTGGCTGCCTTCTTAAGTTTTAGCTGGCTACTCCTGATAATGAATCTCAGAGAACAATGAGGCTTAGTTTGGGGTCCAGGCCCAGAATTTGGGGTCAAAGACTGATGAGGAAAACTGCCTCAAGCCGTTTGGTTCTGCTTTACTTAATGAATATAGATTTTAGAGAAAGTGATGGTAAAAGAATGTCAACCTTCTTTAGGAATAGCATTAAACGTGTGGAGGAAATGGTCAATGATGTATTCCAGAATGCCAATATATATGTGTTGGAAAGACTCCTCAGGAATACAGATCTCTGTGGTTTTAGAGTGACAGGCTGGCAATTAAAAAGACAGCCCAATGCTAGCTTTCCACGGAAGCAACTAGGAAAACATCCAAGTCTACTTCCCCCTCCCCACTTCTTGTCCCACACCTGAAAAAACAGATTTCCATGGTTTAAAATTTATTGGAGTCTTATGAAGAAGCAACCATATGTGCATTCTTCTCTCTCTCTCTCTCTCTCTCTCTCTCTCTCTCTCTCTCTCTCTCTCTCTCCCTCCCCCTCTCTCCTCCCGTGTGTGTGTGTCTGTGTGTGTCTGTGTGTGTCTGTGAGTATGTGCATGTGTGTCAACTTGCGGGAGCCAGAGGAGGATGTCAGGTGTTCTGCTCTGTCATTGCCCACCTATTTCTTTGAGACAGGGTCTCTGAATATAGAGCTAGGCTGATGGCCAGAAAGCCCCAGCTGTTCTGGAACTCACTATGTAGACCAGGCTGGCCTTGAACTTTAAAGAAAGACATGTGCAACCACACCCAGCGTGGTTTTTTGTTTGTTTTTGTCTTTTTGAGATAGGGTCTCCATGTAGCCCCAGCTGGCCTGAAATTTGCTATGTAGACCAGGATGGCCTCGATCTCACAGAGATCCACCTGCCTCTGCCTCCCCAGTGCTGGGATTAAAGACATGTGCCACCATGCCCAGCCAAGCATGGCTTTTTATATGGTGTTGGGAATCCAAATTTGGGTCTTCATGTGTGCACAGTCATTTCCCCAACCCCTGTATGTTTATTATTTATGGCATGATATTAAGGTATGGAAAACCATTGCTCTTTTTAAAAGTGGTAAAATAACCTACAATTTGCCATTTTAACTAAATATAGGTATTTAGTACAGTGTTATTGAGTACATTCACATTGTTAGATACTATGACCACCATCCAGTATTATTAAGTACATTCACATTGTTAGATACTATGACCACCCTTATATCAACTCTCCCTTCCCAAGCAGCCTAGTAACCACTATTTCCACATTCTGTCTATGAATTTGACTACTATAAATACCTAATATAAAGAGGTCATAATATTTGTTCTTTTGTGAATGATTTATTTCACTTACCATAATGTATGACACTATTCTTTTGAATGTTGATACCTATTTTTTCCCAATCTATTCATTGAAACTGTTACTGTTTCATTTATGGTTAATCATTTTTTGTTGACTTGGTATCATGTTATACATGTTATAGGAGAGTTGATATAAGATATTATAACTCTCAAAACGAATAAAATAAGTTTAACAGATGTATATCTTTTTAGAAAGTTTTTCTCCAATACTAAATGGATATTTTGCTTATTTATAGGCATGGAAGAGAAGATGGTTTGTGTTACGAAGTGGCCGTTTGACTGGAGATCCAGATGTCTTAGAGTATTACAAAAATGATCATGCCAAGAAGCCTATCCGGATAATTGATTTAAATTTATGTCAGCAAGTCGATGCTGGGTTGACATTTAACAAAAAGGAGTTTGAAAACAGCTACATCTTTGATATCAACACTATTGACCGAATTTTCTACTTGGTAGCAGACAGTGAGGAGGAGATGAATAAGTGGGTCCGTTGTATCTGTGACATCTGTGGGTTCAATCCCACAGAAGAAGGTAGGTTCATAGATTTATTATTCAATTTGAGTTAATTTTTTTCTTTTTTTGCTATGTTTTTAGAACTGTCATGAAATCTTTTGTTATTTTAGTTGTACATGCTGATGCTTTGTTTTATAATAAGAGCTTGATACTTGGAACAAGCACTGAACTCTTTAATCAGTTTAGAAAGAAACTTCTCATAGGTCTTAGAGAGAGAGAGACCTAACTAACTGATGTGAGGCAATGTCTAAATAATTGTCGTGATGAAAAAAGTCACAAAAGAACATTAAAAATGTTTAATTTCATTTATTTATTTATTTATTTATTTATTTATTTATTTATTTATTTATTTGAGAGAGAAAGAGAGAGAGAATGCTACAATTTACCAATTCACATGTTGAGGTCAAAGGACAACTTGGAGAAGTCAGTTCTCACCACATGGGTCCTGAGATTAGAGCTCAGGTTTTCAGGCTTGGTGGCAAGTGTTTTTACCTACTGAACCATCTCCCTGGCCTAAGACATTAAATTAATTCTCTTGTTATAATACAAACAAATGGGGGGGTTCATTGTGACACACATACACATCACTATATTTTGTTCTTTTTTGCTCATCCCAGCCCTTTCCTGCCCCCACCCTCTTTAGGACCCCTTCTTCCCCTCAAGTAGTCACCCCTTTGTTTCCATGCCACTTACATATATTTATGTTTTTAAAAATATTTATTTATTTATTTATTTGTATGTGTTATGCCTGCATGTATGTAAGTGCACCTGTGTCGTGCAGTGCCATGGAGGATAAAAGAGGGAGTCAGATCCCCTGGAACTGGAGTTACAGACAGTTGTTAGCCGCCATCTGAGTGCTGGGATTCAAACCCAGGTCTTCTGTAAGAGCAGGCAGTGCTCTTAACTGCTGAGCCATCTCTCCAGCCCCACATTTATGTTTTTTAAAAGCCAGAATCACAAATAACAGTGGGCTGAGCTTTGTGGCCTTATGATCCCCTTGCTCCATGGAGAATGCATCCCCAGGATCCCCAGTGGATGCCTAAACCTGAAGATAGGAGCAAGCCTGCATATACTTTTTTTCCCCCCGTACATATACATCTATGATACAGTTTAATTTATAAATTAGACACAATGGGAGGTTAACAATAATAAAATAAAACATGAACATGACAACAATATGCTATAATAAATGGCTGCTGTCACTACTCTTGTGCTCTGGGACCATTATTAAGTAAAATAATAAAGGTTACTTGAATACAAGCATCCTTTGCCACTGTATACACCAGGCTAGCTGTCCTGTGAGCTCCTGGGGATTCCCCTGTTTCCACCTCCTCTTTAGGCATAGGAGCACTGGGATTCTGTGCCTGGCTTGATGTGGGATCTGCACATTTTAATTGAAGTCTTTGTGCCTGCAGAGCAAGTGCTTTTAACTACTGAGCCATCTCCCCAGCCCAAGGCTAGGTGGTTTTAAATGGCTCCGTGACTATCATTGATAAATCTACTGAGTACTTTGCTTCTCTACTTAAGGGAATGTTTTCATTGGGCTCTAGAAGTCAGAATCAATTGGTCACATGTCAGTTTTCACTGTAATAAACCAGCATAACAGGGGTATTTGAGGAAATACATAAAATCTGCAGTGACTTTCTCAGTAGCAGAATGCCCAAGTCCTTAGAAAACAGGCTAGAGACATAGGGAATATGTGAAGGGTAGAGGAATGTAAGATAATTTATAAAATGATTAATCAAATTTGGCATGTGTGGTTTGTGAGTCGATTACCAAGAATAGTATTGGTAATCACAAGTCATTTTTATCTGTTCATTAAAACAAGCCCTTGATAGTTTTAATTTCCTAATACTTTGTACATTTTGTCCATGGACTGTATCTAAGTACAACAGAAATTGTATTTTAGATATTATTTCCATTTTTCCCAACTTCCTTCTAACCATCTCCCTCAAATAGCCACAGTTAGAAATGTCTTAATATGCTATATTGAAGCATAACTTGAGTTTCTTGGAATAAATCTATAGAAAATGACTAAGATGACTAATTCCTCATCATTGTCATATTAGAGGCCAAAGCAATGTCACTGCAGTCTGTTATTCTTTTCAGTATGTAGTAGCAAAACTGCAAAAAGGCTTTAAAATCAGCTACACTTCCATATGCATTTGTAGAAGATTACTTTACTGTAGCTAAAGATCCGAGGCCAGCATGGTCTACGTAATGAGTTCTAGGCCAGCTGGAGCCACAGGGAGACCCTGTCTCAAAAAGATTAATTTGCATCAGATTCTAACAGCAGAGAAGTGTCAGTATCCCTTGTAACCATGCACACACAGTTCATGTGGTAGGGCAAGAACACATGTCTAAAGATGGCTCAGCAGTTAAGAGCACTAGCTGCTCTTGCAGAGGACCCCAGTGATTGGATTTCCCAGCACCTACATGGCAGCTAACAGCCATCCACAACTTCAGTTCCAGGGGATCTGACACCCTCCCTCTTCTGGCCTCCAGGCTTTCCATAACATGAGTGCACTCACATACATGCAGGCAAAATACTCATACACATAAAAAATAAATAAAAATAGATAAATAAATAGTTCAAAGAATAGAGATGTCTGGGTTCTCCTGTTAACATTAACACCAACCTTATATTCTCTTGCTTCCAAGCATTCCTTATAACCAATCCACAAACAGTTAAGAGGCCATTTTTCCTTTGCTTCATCTGCCCTTAAGCCTGTGCTCCTCCCTTTCAAAGGCTGAATGTACCCCACTCTGGGTTCAAAAGTTTGCTAGTACTATGAGCCACCTTTTCACTGTGTAAGTCTCAAGCCAGATGTGGGAAGAAATAGACCATGCTTGGACAGCACTGTTTGAGAAAATAACTCTCCCCCATCCCTCTGAGAATAACTCATTTTCCCCTGAAAACAAAAGGAAAGGGGAAAATTCTGACCTGTGTTTTGATTCCAGGAACCTCTCAAAATATCATTAGCATGTTATTTCCGCTGCCCCAGGTGACCACTGCTATTATTGAATACTCAAAATGCTGGCAGACTGTTGTGTTTTTAAATTCAAACTCATTGAACTGTGTGCGGTTCCTACGATTGCTTTTCTTTAGTGGATTTGAGGATAGAAACCAGTTTCTTTTGTTTTTCTTGGAAATGTGCAGATTGGTTTTTGTTTCTGCACACCAAGGTAGAAGCTGTTAAATTTGCTAAACAAGTGCTGGGAAGCTCGGCCAAGGGTGGTAGGAAGTCACTGACCTCTAGAAAGGCTTCAGCTAATTTTAGGATACAGGATTAGAAAATCTCCTGAGTTGCTTTTCTCAAACTGCCCAGGTTATAGTGGCTTAATTTTTAAAAAGTATAGTTCTCTGTTTGATATTCTTCCTTTTAATAAGTAGATAAGCTAGTATTTAAGAACATATATAGGGGCTGGAGAGATGGATCAGCAGTTAAGAGCACTGGCTGTTCTTGCAGAAGACCTGGGTTCGAATCCCAGCACCCACATGGTGGCTAACACTCATTCATAACTCCACTTCCAGTGGATCTGACTCTCTCCTCTGCACTACATGGGCACTGCACAACATAGATGCACTTACATACATGCAGGCATAACACACATAAAATTTTAAAAATATTTATTTTAAAAAGAATATATTTATTTATATGGACTAAGGATGTGACTCCGTTAGTAGAGTGGTTGCCTAGCAAGCACACAGCATAAACCAAGTATGATGACACAGGCCTGTACACCCCAGCATTTGAGAGGTGGGGCAGGAGCATCAGAAGTTCACGGTCATCTTAGCTGAACAGTGAATTCAAGGCCTGCCTGGGATGAATAAGATCTTTTCTCAAAAAGAAAAAAAATTACATACATACACACATGTGTGTGTGTGTGTGTGTGTGTGTGTGTGTGTGTGTGTGTGTATCCTTCCCTATCAAGCAGTCTTAGGGACTTCTAAATTTCTTTTTACTTAAATGTAAAACATTTGTTATTACTACTGTGAAAGGCATAGATCTTAAATGATTGCTCAGAGACTTTGCATATCCATGTCTGCACACAGATATACATATATGTGTTTTTAAATTCTAGATCAGATTAAGAATTTCAACATTTGTACTCCAGAAAAATCTTTTGGGCCTTTTCCCAGTAAAATCCCACCTAGGTTTCATATTCCTTTAACGTCTATCACCGTCCATTAATTTTGTCTATTTTGAACTTCATGCAAATGGAACCTTTAAGTCCTCTTCCTTCCTTCAATATTAAGTCCATGAAATTCACCATGTTGTGGTGGGAAGTAGTTTGTCCCATGCAGCACTCTATCATGTGACTACGTCATATAGCATGTCTGTTTGAATGCATCTGAATTGTGTCTAGTTTTTAGTTACTACAAAGAGAGGTGTGTGGAACATTCTTATGTGGGTCTTTTTAAAAAAGTATATTCTTAATTTTCTGTATGTGTGTATCTGTGTGTGAGTCTGTGCATGCCGGGTCCTCTGTAAGAGCAGCATGTGCTCTTAACCACTAAGCCATCACTTCTGACCCTTGTGTGTATGTCTGTGGATGGACATCAACACTTTGTTCTTCTGGACACATGCCCATGAGTTGAAGTGCTGTATCATTGGTTATATGTATCTTAGCATTTAGCTCTCCAGAGTCATTGTACAAACTACATTCTTGGTGGCTTCTGATCTTTGACCATTCACCTCAGCTGGCCTAGTGACTGTGTGGTAGCAAGTTCATGATTTATTTTGCATTTTCCTGAGGGCCAATTCAACTGGAGAGTGTAGCTGTTTGGTTTCTTGTTGGTTTTTTGTTCTTTTTGCACATTTTCAATTGAGTGGGCACCCTGTGGTGGGTTCTGAGTACCTAATTTCTAAACTGTTCTTCCACAAGTGATTCTGATCAAACCATTGGATAAGAATAATGGCATTTGTCAGCATCGCCTAAGGATTAAAAGTCTCCAAGGTTTTCATGTGTGAGGGATAAAAACTTGAAAACTAAAATACGTGGGACTGGAGAGATGATTCAGTGGTTAAGAGCACTGGCTGCTCTTGCAGAGAACCCAGATTCAATTCCCAGCACCCACATGGTGGCTAACACCATCCATAACTCCAGTTCCAGGGGAATTCAGCGACCTCTTCAAACCTCCATGGGCGTTGTGTGACACTGGTGCACTTACGTACATGCAGGCAATATACTCATACACATAAAATAAATAAATAAAATATGTTTAAAAACAACAAAACCCCCTAAAATACATGTTGTGTTGTACTTGAAATACATTAAACGTTATGTAGTGATTAAGGATCTTCAGTAGCTGATTAAGTATCTTGACTCACAGTTACTATTACTGCTGTTACTTATTTGTATTCATTTGTTAGATTTTCCTGTTTAAATATCTTCTAAAACTCTGTGTGTGTGTGTGTGTGTGTGTGTGTGTGTGTAGGTCAAAGGACCACTTGGAGGAATCTGTTTTCTCTTTCCATCATGTGGATCCTAGGGACCAAACTGAGGTCATCAGGCTTGGCAACAAGCACCTTTACAGCCCTTTTAGAAAATGTTCATTAGCATATATTACATATAATAATGGGCTTGATTATGACATTTCATTCATGCATTTCGATCATATTCATCACCACACAAACACCCCGTTTCCCTCTCACTCTTGTTAATTTCTCTAGATTTACCTTTTAACAAGCGTTATGGTTCCAAATAGGATAAACCAGTCCATAGGGTGAGGGGTCATGGGAGTCGACTTCTTATTGGTAGATCTGCTCAAATCATAATCTGTTCCTTTGCACTGAGAGCTTGCTTGCCGAAAGGCCTTTCCTTAGCAGTACTTATTAGCTTTCTAAGTAAATTTCAATTAGGAGTTTGCTCCAGTGGTTTATTAGGCCTCTAATGGATGTTAATTATACTCTTGATGCATTCTGAATTAAGAAATGGGAAACAGTTTTACATGTGCGAGCAAACCCTGAACCAGTGTCTGTTTCTTCAGAGATACTTAGAAAGAGCAGTGAGTCAGGAATGGAAGCAAGGCAGGAAGCAAGATGGCCTGTTCTACAGCTTGTAGCCTAGAGTAGGCTTAAATCACGTGTTGTTGCACCAGCTGTTTAACATCAGCAGAAATTTTCATTTACAGAATATTTAGATAGAATACAATTTTTAAATTTTACATTATTTATTGTGTGTATGTGAATGTGTGGGGGCGCACATATGACATGGTGCACGTGTGAAGGTCAAAGAACAATTTGAGTCACTTCTCTCCACTGTGTGGGTTCTAGGGATTGAATTCAAGTCATCAAGGTTGGTGGCAAGCTTCATTACCTGTTGAGCCATCCAACTGGCCCTGAACAATATAATTTTTGTATTCAATCTTCAGAGCTAGGTAGGTAGTCAACTTGGCATGAGTAAAATGATCTCAAAGACCAAAATGTTGAAGATAGTGCATTTTCTTGGCTGAAGTGTTAAAGTGATTGCCTGTCCCGTTAAAGCCCTTTGTATGCCACTGTGGTCTGGAATGTTTGGAGCAGCTAAAAGGTCTAAAAGGTGTTTTCTTTTATGAACTTGCTCGGAAGTGTAGTGGAAGTTTTCTCTATCTCTTGCCCCTTGTAAACACATGTAAGTATTGACATGTTAGGGGAGGTATTTTTGGAACAGACACCTTTGAATTCTACCCAGACTTCTCAGAAAACTGAGGACTTTGAAGATTGAAAGAGGTTTCATGACTTTTATCTTTCATGGGTGGGAGAAATGAAAGATTATGAGTGAGATAGTCCCGTTGTGAACGTAAAACAAGGTCAGGCCAACATGATGCTCTGGCGGGGTGAGTTTTCTTTTCTCACGTGAGTCTCTCAATTCATTCAGTGTATGGCTATCAAGTTTACCAAAAAATACTAAAGGTAAAGTGTTATCTATGAGAACAGTCACCTGGGAGAGTTATTCAAGGAGTTAGAGCGGTGCTACAATTCATACAACTTCATATGGTAAATTACTTATTTAGTGTTTAGTTTTGTTTTGATCAGAACTAAACATTGAACTCAATTACTCCATGCCTCTACTGTCAATGAAACAAGACTGCGACTGTATATTACAGGAGAATACAGCTTGTCGGATGCTCTAACTGCTTTCTAATCTATTTTTCTCCTTTGTGTTGTATATGTCTCTCTTAAATTCATTTTTGAAAGATAAATATTTTTCATGGTTTTCTTAAGTCCAGAAGGATTTATCTGAGTCATTATTTAATCCAGTCCATGGCATTTAAAAAAATCCCCTTGAACTCAATCTCTATATTTGCAACTGAATCAAGAGTGAAACACTTCTTTGGAATGTTTACACCTCACTCTACCATTAACCTCTCTCTATTAGACCAGCAACAAGAATTTATGAGTAATTACTGAAATTTTGACATTATGGGATATGAATGTCTCCAAATTTGTTTCTATATTCTTACGTATTCTATTTTCATCTTCCATAAATAAGAAAAAATTGTCCTGGCATAAAGTGTTAGATTTTATTAGGGGTCACTATAAAAATGACATTTCAGCCAGGTGTGGTAGTGCACGCCTTTAATCCCAGGCAGAGGCAGGCGGATCTCTGTTCTCTGTGAGTTCAAGGCCAGTCTGGTCTACATATTAGTTTCAGGACAGCTGGGGCTACAGGGAAACCTTGTCTCAAAAAGACCAAAAAAAAAAAAAATACATTTCATGGAAAATTAACAAGATTAAAAGCTAGAAATCGGCTCAACTTAATCAGGCAAAATTCTCTAATTGAAAGAAGTTCTCAGACCTGTTAGGGCTCAAAGAGTTCATGAGAAGCCAATCCAAGACTGCACATGCAAGCAAATGTGTCTCACACAGATTTTAGACCCCTCTCATTTTTTAGAAATCTCTTCCAGTTGGAGTATCTGCCCTGTGATTAAAACATTCTCTCTTTTATTTTTCAACATCTGTTTCATGTAAGACACCACTGAGCATAGCAGCTCTGATCCTTACTTAGTTGCTATTGAGATCTATGAGTAGTGGTGTACTGCTGTTATATTCAGGCCTCATAATTAAGATATGACCCGTGCCTACGAGGAGAGGAAGAGTTGTAAAATGAGCTAATTAACTTTGCTGTAGTGCACACATTATATTTAAATACAGACAAACATCATCAAATGCCTGTAGGTTTAATGTAAGCATCCAGAGAAGAGGGGTGACCTTAGCCCTTCCCTGGTAAACCAGTAGCCAAATATTACTTGCATTCAACCCTAGTTCATGGATCATCTCCCTTTATCACTTTTTAGCATGTTTTACGTATTTCTTTAAATCTCGGTTTCAACTAGCCAACCGAATTTTTATATAAACAGGTAATAAACAAATTTACTTATTCACATATAAGCATTTTCCTTTTCCTGGGTTATTTTTAGCCTTGTATTTCTAACCAGAATAACAGAATGTAGTCCTTCGGGGCTTAAAATTATACTTTGTCATGTTGTTAATTACAGAGGGGCTTAATTGCTAGATTTACAACTTATTTCTTTCTGTACACTTTAGCTATTTTCGTTTATCTTCCTAGAACACAGTTAAGAGATTGTGAATTGCTTCACTTGATGACCATCTTTGCATGAAAGCACTGCAGAAATCCACTAGCTGATGGGTGTGGTCATACAGCCAGGAAAGAGGCCTTGACCCTAATATTAATACAGTTCGTCTTCACTGGCCTCAAAATAGAAAGATTCCTCCTCCCAAGCTACAGCCTGAAGAGCAGACCCAGAACTCCAGCAGTCCCATGGCCCTCGAAGGTCATGTAATTGAGTCTCTTTGCAATTGAATCTTGGCTTAGGAAGCACTTCCTCATCATGAGAAAAAAACAAAAAACAAAAAACCTCTATCTCCTGCTAAGATTACAGAACATTTTCATTTCAATTTAAGTAACCTTAAAATTAAAGATTTTTCAAAGTTACATTAACTGTGACTTCATTGGGTGTGGGTATAAGTGTGGGTATGTGTGTTTGCATGTTCATGTGTGTGTGCATGCATGTGGAAACCAGAGATTGGCATCAGGTATCTTTCTCTATCTCCACCTTTATTTTTAAATTAAGTAATTGGTTACTTTTTATTTTATGTATATGATTATTTTGCCTCCACCAGTGTGGAGGCCAGAACCGGGCATCAGATCCCCTGGAACTGGAGTTATGGATGGTTGTTAGCTACCACATGGGTACTAGGAACTGTACCCAGGGCCTCTTCAAGAGCAGCAAGTGGTTAAGTCCACCTTTATTTTTTTGCATCAGGATCTCTGAGAGTGCCTGGAGCTCACTGATTGGGCTAGACTAGCTGGCCACTGAGCTTGAGGGATCCACAGGTCTCTGTCTAACCAGTGCTGGAATTACAAGCACATACTACAGTGCCTGGCTTTTTATGTGAATTCTGGGGATCTCAGCTCAGATCCTCATGCTTTTGGAACAGGCATTTTACCAACCAAGCCGTCTCCTCAGGCCCAATGTGGCTTCTTTATGGCCCCTGAACTGCTTTTCAGATGTCTTTGCCAAGAACCAATTCATGTATAAATATTACTACTTAGGTAGTATTTATTGTTCTGTTTTGTTTTGTTTTGTCACCTTGCTCTGTTGCCCAGCTTGGCCTTGAACGCCTAAGCTTAGATTTCCCTCCTCAGCCTGGGCTACAGTTGTGCACCACTGCATGTGACCTTAGGTGGTATTTATTTTAGTTGATACTGACATCATTTATTCCGGTTTTGTGTATTGGAACAGTTTAGCTCCAAACTTTAAAGTCACTTGTCTTAACCACAACAAAATCTTATAATGTGATAGACTAATATTAAACCTTCTTGCAGATTCTGTGAAGCCCCTTGGCAACTCCTCACAAGCACCCGTGGATTCACCTTTCGCTATAAACACAGCTCCACCTTCCACCCAGGTGGATGCTCCACTACCTCCTTCTTACCAGCTCATCAGCCTCCCGCCACACCCGGATACTCTTGGCATCCAGGAAGATCCTCAAGACTACCTCTTGCTGATCAACTGTCAAAGCAAGAAGCCCGAACCTGCCAGGTACATGGTTCATGCCTTCATGTATGCTTGGGAACAAGCGTGTGTGAGTGTGTGCGTGCATGTGCACATATGTGTGTGGGGGTATGTGTATACATTTTTAAATCTTACTTTTAAGTTTTATAAAGCTTGAGGGTTAAAAGGAGCCGTCTTTATAGGCTTGTGCTGCAGGCTTCTATTGTAGGTTATAATCCTTTGTTAATTGTTTCTGTTACCTGAGTGGTTTGTCAAAGAAACACAGTTTCCACCATCATGGCCAAGAACAGTGTACCTATCAAGTTCTTCTGGAAACCTGGCTACTGATTTGCAGTCTTTGTTACAGACTCACAGTGTTACTTGCTTACCAGATGTCACTGATTTATAAATGGTGATCTTGCTCCATTTCTTATGTGATTATAAACCAGCCAAGGGTCATCTTTTGTTTCTGAAGAAGGAGAGGAATACCTACTACTAGAAGATTTTGAAAGCAAAAAGATTCCATTGCAGTGAGTGTGTTGTAGTTTTGGATCTGTGTGAGAAACTAATCATACAGGTAAAATCCCAATATGGCAAATCCTACAAAATAGATGAACTGGGCTACAGTGACATTTGATGAAATCAAATATACCGATAAAAGCTATGAAACTTTCAAATCTCTCCCTCTAGCCACGAAGCAGCGCTGGCTCCCAAACCTTGACTTTGTTAGGTAAAAATATATGGAGTGCACACCTTAACCAGAGAGTCCGTAAAGCCCTTCCCAAACCCTTCCCTCCTGATTCCATACCCGTGTCTTCTGCTAAGCCCTAAAATATTTAAATTTGATCACCTTTGACATTTGATGTTGAGTAGTTGAAAGGCCTAAAGTGACAGAGGAAGTTAGAGGACAGTTATTTCACTCTTTGAAGACACAGCTGGAAAATAGTGATGAGTAAGGAGGCCAAGCTCTGCCTTGATGACATCATCAACTGGGTATATTTACAGTTCAAAAGTAGGCATTGCCAGGTACAGAGGTACAAGCCTTTAGTTCCAGCACTCAGGAGGCAGAGGCAGAATCTCTGTGAGAACAAGGTCAGTCTTGTCTGCATAGTGAGTTCCAGGTCAGCTGGGGTATAGGGAGACCCTATTTCAAAGAACCAAAATACAATAAAATAAAAGTGGGCATGAACTATATATTAGATGTGAAAGGTATCTATAAAACAGAGTGATAAGGAACTAAGCTTTATTATTTTCATGAGAGAAAGTTTCTTTTTTCAGTGTAGTGATTGTTAGTAGACCAAAATTAGAGAAAGTATTTAAAAATTTTTATATAGAATTTAGCATCCACAAAAAGTGCTTTCTGTGAACCACCCATTCCCTAGTGGCAGCAGCCTGCAAACATTTCAAAAAATGGGTTTGTGTGCATTTGTTATAATGGAATTTTACCTGTAAGAGCAAGAAAATTTTATAAATCAACACTAGTTAATACTATCAAATTCTAACTTGATTGTGCTTGTTTGCTGTGAGTATTACAGATTATACACTTGTGAATTTTCACCTGTTCAACTAACTAAGATTTATGAAGACTCACTGTAACTTTTTGGTGTTGTTTTTTAAGAAGCCAATAGTTAGGTGATACTTTTAGTATTTTCTCTCTTTTATAACAGTGCCTTTCATTGATTCATTGGTACAATGTCTTTCCTGCTGCAGTAAAAAATACTCTCCAAATCTCTGCCTAGATATATTTTGACATCTATATTTTGCCAAACTGACAGGTAAATCACAAATATTTATGCTTTATCCACCACATGCTCACTAGTAGGCTAGGTACTGTGGAGATACAAACTAATTACATAGGATACAGTTCCATCAGATGGAGCTGCCTCAGGAGTTTTCAAGTAAACCTTGGTAGGAAGTCAGAGAACACTCGCAGAAGTTATTTTCACATGAAGACTCTGGTAGGAGTTGCCTCACACACTCATATTTATCCTCCAAAGCTCAGCTCAGATATCTTTCCTCTAGGAGCCATGTGCCTGTGCTCTTAGATTGAGATGCCTCACTGGGTTGGTGGGAGATTTTTTTTGTTTTGTTTTTTGTTTATTTTTATATGTTCTATGTTTATTGTGTGTTGGGGGGTAGTTTCACCAATACCACAGTGCATTTGTGAAGGGCAGAGGAAAACTTGCAAAAATTAGTTCTCTCCTTCTATGTGGGTTCTGGGGATTGAACTCGGGCTTGGTGGCAAAGCCCTTACCCACTGAGCAATCTTTCCAGGCTTCTCTGGATTTTCATAGCACACTGGCTATATGTTCACATCTCTGACTCACTGTAAAATTAGAAATAATTCAATAGTTTTCCTTACTACTATATAAGAAGCCTTATTTAGGACTCCTACCTCCAGCTGCTTTTGGTTTCTGCATTTGACTAAGTGAAATGCACGTTTTAGAGGTTGCATACATAGGTGCATTGGAAATTCCACCCAGGGATAATGTGTTTTTAAGATGGAAAAACCCAGATGAACAAGATGGGTCAGTTGCCACAGAAGCCTGATAACCTGAGTTTGATTCCCAAAACCCACATAATGGTGGAAAGAGTGAACAGACTCCACAGAGTTGTCCTCTGACCCCTCACCCACTTTGTGACACAGAGGCACACCTTCATTCATACAAATACATACACAATAATAATAAATAACAATATTGTTTTTTAAATTTTATTATTTTTATTTTATCTTATATTTTATTTTATGTGTATGAGTGTATTGCCTGCAAGTGCACTCATGTCAGACAATGCCCGTGGAGGTTAGAAGAGGGCATTGGATCCCCTGGAACTAGAATTGCAAAAGGGTGTTAGCCGCCATTTGGGTGCTGGGATTCGAACCTGGGTCCTCTGCAAAAGCAATCAGTGCTCTTAACCACTGAGCCATCTCTCCAGCCCCTAAGTAGTTTTTTAAAGTGAAAAATCATTGAGTAGCTTTATAAGAGGAACAGCTTCTACCTGGCTACTGAGCTGTACCTAGTTGGTGACAGAAAAGAACATCTTTACTAATTTGTACAAAACTTTCTTAAGGAAATGGAGAGGTGAGAATGAGTATGGTGGGGAAAAGAAGAGAAAGAGAGCCTGCTTGGGAAGGACTCACTTTGTGGAAAAGCAGGACTTAGGAGGTAGAGCCAAGTTAATATTAGGAACCTTGATACTGTGTGGGTTGGTCTGTGGCCTTACAGTCCCACAGTGTGTAATAATCTATAGATTTTTCTCTAATTAGCTGAATAATATAAAAATCATGTTTTGGAAAATATTGGTGTTATTGCAAACAGAGATTAGAGGAAAGGGACACTAGAGGAGAGTTCACCTCGGGGTTCAGTGCTGAGGAAGGATGTCACAGGGATCTACCTGAACTTGGAGTGGGAACAGGGCAGAAACAGATAAGTGGAGAGGAGGAAAGATTCATGACGCAGTGCTTGACCGATGGTGGGGTCAGAGAGGGGATCAAGGTCCTTGGATTTTGAACCTAGAAAATCTGGATTCAAGTCACTTCTTTCCATGCAAATCAGGAAGAATAACCAATTTCAAAAGGAAATTGAATTTGGTTTGAGCCACGTGAGCAAAGTCATGCAGTGATAACAAACTAGAATTGCGACTTTGAAAATATAGCACTCAGAGTTTAATGAGAAAATGGGAGCTGTCAGTGTTCCAAGAAGAAAGTGAAGGTGTGAAAAAGAATCATCTAGTGCAATGTGTGGTGAAGTTTTGGTGTCATTCCTGAGAGGACAGACAGAAGGAAGGTGACAGTCCCTGAACAAAGGGAGTGAATGACCAGCAAGGGAGAAGGAAAATCAGGGTAGCATGGTATGGGTGCTCTGTCCCAAAGTGGGAGAGGTTCTGGGGACAAATATGATACACAGGACCAGATGTTACTATAAATCCTATCGTATTATTTAAATAAACAGGATCCTCAACTTATATAATGAGCTCAAGTACCTTGTTTATCATTAAGGAAGTAGGAGTGTATTTGTACTGTTAACATCTGCTTGGTTTATATTGAAATTTCCATTTATTTTTATTTTATGTGTATGAGTGTTATGCCTGCATGTATGTAAATGCACTCGTGTCATTCAGTGCCTGCAAAGGACAGAAGAGGGTGTCAGATTCCCCTAGAGCTAGAGCTACAGATGGTTGTTAGCTGCTATGTGGGTGCTGGGATTTGAACTTGGGTCTTCTGCAAGAACAGCCAGTGCTCTTAACCACTGAGCCTTCTCTCCAATCCCTATATTGAAATTTTTAATTCCTCAGAATGCAGAGACTAAAAATATTACCGAAACAAAAATATCTTCATATGAGATTTCATAAGGTTGTTAGGAGTTGGTTAACCTGATGAGATCTGTTTTGTTCCTTTTAATAGTATGGCTGAATATTTGTCAAAGAGAGTAGAAAGGAAGGTACCTGAAACCTATTGTCACCTTGAATTCTTCAGCAATGGCAGTTTGACTTGGGGCTATGCAGAACAACTTGCCACAGGCAGATTAAAAGGCAATGGATGAACCGTGTAAACTGCTCCAAGCTGGGTTTTTGCATGTTGTTCATAGAAAATGTTTTTCTTTGTGTCTAGATAGATAGTTCTGTGATGTCTAATTCTAATGCTATAGGGATTTATGGTTTTTATGTGTATGTTTCTTTGGTAGAATTGGGGGTGTGGGCAGGCACAGGACAGGACTTATTTCTGGCAGTTTGGTGGTGGTAGGCTTGTTGGTTTATCATCATAAACGATTAAAGAACATTTGTGCTTTGAATCTTACCGATCACAAAAAAAAATCTCATGGAAAAACATTTGGATTGCTAGGCTATAAATTTGTTAATCGAAACTTAATCCATATGTCTTGATTGTATTTATTTTGTCATTAACAATTTTTATTCAGAACCCATGCTGAATCCGCAAAGTCCACCTCTTCTGAAACAGACTGCAATGATAACGTCCCTTCCCATAAAACTCCTGCTTCCTCCCAGAGCAAACACGGAGTGAATGGCTTTTTTCAGCAGCAAATGATGTATGACTGTCCACCATCGAGAGCCACATCTATTTCTGTAGACTCCAGCCTCTATAACCTGCCCAGGAGTTATTCCCATGATGTGTTGCCAAAGGAATCTCCATCTAGTACTGAAGCTGATGGAGAGCTCTACGTTTTTAATACCCCGTCTGGGACATCCAGTGTTGAGGCTCAGATGAGACATGTGTCTATTAGTTACGACATTCCGCCAGCACCTGGCAATACTTACCAGATTCCACGGACATTTCCAGATGGCACCTTGGGACAGACAGCAAAACTGGATGCCATTCCAGATATCCCTCCACCCCGGCCACCAAAGCCACATCCAACTCATGACCGGTCTCCTGTGGAAACGTGCGGTATCTCACGCACAGCCTCAGACACCGACAGCAGTTACTGTATCCCTACAGCGGGCATGCCACCATCACGGAGTAACACCATTTCCACCGTGGATCTGAACAAATTGAGGAAAGGTCAGTTCCAGGCAGCTTTTACACTATTAGAGGTTAATGACAGAACATCCATTTATCTGAGGTACTGGAGAGATGGCTCGATGGGTAAGAGCTCTTGCTGCTCAAGCATAAGGACCTGAGTTCATATCCTAGAACCCATGAGCCTATAACCCTAGTGTTGTGAGGGGCAGAGACAAGAAGATCTCTGGAGCTTTCTGGCTGCCAGCCTAGCTGCAGATTCAGGGACAGATCCTGTCTTAATGGAATAAGATGAAAAGGGATAGAGCAGGACAGTAGATATTCTCTGGCCTCTGTTCACTGTGGAAGCACACAGGCAAATGAAGTGTACTGGCATATGTGTGCATACACCACATACAAGAAAATCCACTTTTCTCAATAATTGTTCTTTTTGGTATAGTATATTAAGTTTTTATCCTGGGGCTGGAGAGGTGGCTCAGCAGTTAAAAGCACTGGCTGCTCTTGCAGAGGACCCAGGTTCAAGTCCCAGCACCTACATGGTGGCTAATGGCTGTTCATAACTCTAGTTATGAACAAGGGATCTGACACCCTCTTCTGACCTTTGTGGGCATTGCCCAACACGGGTGCACTTACACACATGCAGGCATTATACTCATACACATAAAATAATAAATAATATTTTTAAAAAATTACCTCTTCTCTTCCTCAGCTCCTACTCATGCAGCCATGATATCAGAGTCAGTACACCCCTAAAGGTTTGTGTGCCTGTGCACGCACGCGTGCGTGTGTGTGTGCATGTGTGTGTGTGCACATGCCTGTTCTGTGGGAAAGGAAAAAGGGTTGGAACTCAGAGCTTCTCATGCCTGAAGTATAACCTAGCCTTCCCATCTCAGGAAACACCTGCTTTTCTCTCCCACTTTCTAGGATTCCCGGGGAGATAGATTGTCTGAGCAGGAGCACTCTCCAATTACAGACTGTGCGTCATCATGACCTCTTCTGCGTCACCTCTGTTGGGCTTTTTTTCCTTCCTTCCTCTATAAGCAATTTTTACATATTGTCTATTAAGTGGTAATGCTATTCAAATCAAGCCCATTATGCTTTTTGTTTAATAGGATTTAATTTAGTTTTACTGACTCTCCTCTCACTGTTCATTTTGGCTGACAATGGGTATACATGTCTTGTACTGTCTCTTAGAGCCTGCAAGGAGAAGCTCAAGACCTTGGGAATGGGGACTGGGTCTGGGTTATTCTCCAAGATTCTTTCTTTTTCTTAAGTTTTTGTACAAGTATAAATATTGTATGTTGAGCATACAATATCTTCTATCTTCCGTTTTCTCACTTCTCCTGACTCCTATTGGTTCCCTTTATCCCTAGAGATTTTAAGGTATCAATGTAAAATCTAGGAGCCATAAGCATGATATTTGTCTTTATGAAATTACTGCAATTCACTTAGTATGATTATCTCCGGTTACAAACATCTCATTGCAAATGGCATGACTTCATTCTTTATAAAAAGCATTTATTTATTTAGTGTATAGGTATACGTACATGCCTGGAGATCAGAGGACAACTTGCAGGAGTTGGTTCTCTCCTTCCATGTGGATCCTGGAAAACTAAACTCAGATCATCAGACTTGACAGCAAGTGCCTTTACCTGCTGAGCCATCTCATCAGCCCAGATTCAGTCTTCTTTGTGACCGAAAAGAATTCTATTGTGTTTATATACATTTCCTTATCCATTCTTCTATTGTTGGAAACCTAGGTTGTCTGCATAGCTTAGGTATTGTGAATAGCACAGCAGTAAACACATATCTCTATGATATGTTGCTCTGAAGTCCTCTGGGTAAATATCCAGGAGTAATATAACTGGGTCATATGATAGATCCATTTTTAGTTTTTCTGAGAAACCTCCATACTGACTTCCACAATGGCTGGTCTAGTTTACACGCCCACTGCAAGGTATAAAGGTCTCTTTTGTCCTTGCTGCTGTTCTCGTTGTTTTCAATGACTACCATTCTGACTAGGATGAGATGGAATCTCAATGTAGTTTTAATTTACATTTCTCTGGTGGCTAGTAAGGCTAAAACTTTTTTCATGTGTTAATAGCCATTTTTATTTCATGTTTTGAGAGCTGTCTGTCCATTTCATTAGCCCATTTATTGATTGGGTGTTTTGAGTTCTTTGCATATTCTAGATGTTACTCCACTGTCAGATATATAGCTAGCAAAAAAGATTGTCTCCCATTCTGTGGGCTGCCTCTTCACTCAGTTAACTGTTTCTTTTGCTGTACAGAAACTTTCTAATTTCATGAGGTCTCATTTGTCCATTATTGGCTTTGTTTCCTAGGAGACTGCAATCCTATTGAGAAAGCCCTTTGCCTATGCATATTTCGAGAACTGTTTTCCCTAGTTTTTCCTCTAACAACTTTAGAGTTTCAGGTCTCACATTAAAGTCTTTGACACATCTAGAGTTGATTTTTTTTTTTTTTTTTTCAGGGTAAGATACTGGGATACTGGGATCTAGTTTCAGTTTTCTACACATGGATATCCAGTTTTCCCAACACTGTTTGTTGAAGAGACTGTTTTCTCCAATGTGTATTTTTAGCACCTTTGTTTTAAAAAAAAGAATTAGGTGTCTGTAATTGTGTGAATTTATGTCTGGGTATTCTATTCTGTCTCGTTGATCTGTATGTCTGTTTTTGTGCCAGTACCATGTTTCTCCAAGATTCTAAAAGTCTTAAAAATAGAAAGCCACAGTTTTTATTGCATATACCCTAAAAACTATGTGCTAAATTTTCTGTATTTTGTGGTAGTTGCCTGGCTGTCATAAAGAAGGGAAGGAATTATTGGACCATAAAAAAGTATTTGTATCATTGTATGTTCAACCCTCCAATACCAGTTTCACATTTTTCTATTCTTTTCTTCCTTCCCTCTCTCCTTCCCTCCCTCTTTCCTGAGACAGAATCTCGTCAGAACTTGGTATTTACCCAAGAAAGACCCTAAACTCCTAATTCCTGCCTCTATACCCTGAGTTCTGGGATTATAGGCATAGCCCAGCACATGCAGCCTTCTAACTCTCTTTTTGAAATGGCTTTGTAACCTAATTATATGTTAGTGAAATATCTTAGGCCCGAGGTGGTTCAAAATGAAAACTATTTTTCTTCTCTTTCTTTACATAACCCTTTTCATGCTAGGCTTGGACATTTCATCGCTATCGTTGTCAGATACTGGGACTGATAAACATGCAAATGTGTGTCTGCATTTCTCTAGTGGTGTAATCCACTAATTCAAGACCCTATTTGGTGGGCCTCTTTTTAGGATGAAGTGTGTGGATGTGCGTGAAGAAAAAGAATAAAGCAGTTCTGATTACTCTGAGAGCTGGCAGATGGGAACAAAGGTTGACAGTTTTTTCTTTATTCTAGATGCCCCTTCTCAAGACTGCTATGATATTCCACGAACATTTCCAAGCGATAGATCTAGTTCACTCGAAGGCTTCCATAACCACTTTGTAAGTATAATTGACCTTGTTAGTTGTCGAAATCTTCATGCTTAGTACCTGAGATTAAATGAGATCATGACTGGAGCTAACTTCAGACTCCATATGAATGGATGTGAAATTGTGTCTTAATGTTGGACAATAGCTTTTTTATTAAAAGGAATGTTTTGTGTGTGTGTGTGTGTTTTAGAAAATCAAAAATGTGTTGACAGTGGGAAGCGTCTCAAGTGAAGAATTGGATGAAAATTATGTCCCAATGAATCCCAACTCTCCACCACGACAGCATTCCAGCAGCTTTACAGAACCCATTCAGGAACCAAATTATGTGCCAATGACCCCAGGGACATTTGATTTTTCTTCATTTGGAATGCAAGTCCCTCCTCCTGCTCATATGGGCTTCAGGTCCAGCCCAAAGACCCCTCCTAGGAGGCCAGTTCCTGTTGCTGACTGTGAACCACCTCCAGTGGATAGGAACCTCAAGCCGGACAGAAAAGGTAAGGAGGATGTAGCAAGGGAAAGGATTGGAGGAAACGATGGAGTTAGGTCTGCATCTAACCATCCCTAAGCACAGAGCTGCCTGGACCAATTCTGAAACATTTCATGTTACCTGGATCATTAACTAAAGTACATAAATACTGCTATTTTCAGACTGATGTGTTGATGCCCAGGTAAGATTTCCAAGTCTCCTAGCTCTAAGAGTAGAGATTAAAAACTAAAATACCCAGAGTAAAGAATCTGGAATATTCTTCACAAAGCATCTAAGTAGAGCACCTGACCCCTGCTTAGCTCTTCCACTTTGCTGACTTATGCAGCTCATTCACGAAAATATTTTTGGTCTATCAGCACAAGCCAGAAAACTAGGATTTTAAAAAAAAATTTTAATGACTACATGATTAGAAGAAGCATTTCATTACAGCTTTAACATATTCAGTAACACACTCCAGAGCAAAAGTACATCTCTTTCACAAGTGGCTGTAAGTTTATAGGTTCACAGTTGAATTAATAGTTATACAATATTGAACTCAGTATAAACCCTGTAAGACATAAAATTGAATGAGGTTTTAAACTTTTCGAAAGATCTCTATTTCACTGGGTGTGGTGGTGCATGCCTTTAATCCCAGCACTTGGGAAGCAGAGGCAGGCAGATCTCTGTGGGT